GGAACATTCCAAAAACCTATGCTCAAAAGCCCCAGAGCTCTGAGCATGCATAGTGAAAGCAAGAAAGCGCCGGCACCGCGATGTCGTTGTGATTCGACTTCTTGCCAGGAACACGGGGAAGCCGCATAGTCTCCCAGACGGGACCATACGGTGGTCTGTGTGATGACCTTGTCTCGGGCTCGCTTGATGGACAGGTGACCTGTAACGGCTCCTTGGATTCTTTCACGTGAGAATAGCAGCTCAGCCTTACTGGCCAATGTATGGCTTACGTGTTCACTGCTGCCAATAAGAATACATACCGGCCCTCTGCTTGCTTTCGCTGAGAGCTTGCAACGAGAATCCAATGCTTTGTGCGTTGCATGTGCTCAAAGCCAAAGCCATGCACCACACACTGCAAACGCAGGGCCACGGGCTCGCCGTGCTGTTATCTGCAGCAAGGAGCTGCACACAATGCACACTAACACAGAGACACAGACATTCCAGCATGCACCAAGCCGTCTGCAAATGAGGGTTCCATCTCCACGCAATGTTTGCAATCCTCGTCTCGTCTGACGTGATTTTGGGGTCGCTCGAAATGATGATACTGACTAATTCTGCCTGGAACGAAAACTGCTATCTACAACTCCTTTGTCTGGCACCGCCGGAACGACTGCCACTATGGAGTCTTGTCCACTGAGTCAGTGCCAATCGGAGGCAGAGAGCCGCAGTGAGAACATTGGCACGTACAGCCAGCTGAAACTGCACTGCAGCTGCGGACCACGAAAGCACAAGAACCAGAGCTTGGCCTCACCAACTTGAACCGTTCTCCTGCGCAGGCGAGTGTAAGCTTCAAATTGTGGATTTAGGGCTTAGAGTTGAGGTTTAGGGTTTTGGTGTGAGGCTTCGCCTGCATCCAGCTTTTGCCAGGAGAGCTAAAATCAATCGAGGTACCTTTCAGCTTGAGGGGTGGATTTGGGGCTCAAGGTTTCGGGTTTAGGTTGTAGTAATAGCGACATTGAGGCAGGTACTCTTTCTAGCCAGGAGCTTTCTTGGGTTCTTTTTTCAGGCCAGGGTTTGTCCGCTGAGAGCTGTCCAGACAAACGCGGCTTCCAGAACGGTCCAACCAGAGGCTTGTCAAAAGTGTTCTGGGCATTTTCCAACGCCAGGTCTTTTCCAACGCAAAGTCGTTTCCAGCCGCGGGTGCTTTCCAGCCAGGAGTTGTTTCCAGGGCTGGGCTCACCCTTCTTGAAGTTCGAACCTCGTATTTAGCTGGCCCACTGCGCCTCACCCCGGTTCGCTTTGAAACAGACATGTTTCAAATCTCCGCATGCCTCCTTCCTGTCAGCAGGGTCGCAGATTTTCCCGTTCGTAGCGTCCAACATAGGACCACCGCGCCTTTGAGTGTCTCGTTGTCATGGCTAACGCTGAAGTGGATAGCCCGGACAGCGAGACCCAGAAGCCGCTTGACTCAATTGCCGGAATGATGTTCGTCTGGGTTATGGTACACAGACTTGCTTGAGCTTTGAGTCCTGCACCTGACTTTGAGACCCTCGCTCCCGGCAAAACTTTTTCGGGACAGTTCGTTCAGAGGCTACAGCATGATCAGCCGTACCGCAGCTGTGCGGTGACAGCAGGGGACTTGGCATCTAATGTGTTATCGGTGCAAGCTTGGGGTCACAGAGTCACACAGACTGCATGATGCAGGCATGCGCTTGGAGAGTTTTGCTTGCTGCTAGATGTTGGGCATAGTGCTACCGTGCTGTTTTATAGTCTTTGTCTCGAAGGTTTGGCGCGTCTTCGGTGTGTTGGCGGCCTTATACTGCTTCTTGTTTGGATTGGACTTGATGGGCGTGTCCTTCAAGGCCGGTTTCGCTGTGCATGCCTGTGCGTGGAATCTGGTGCTTGCGTGGAACAGAAACGGCAGCGCACTCAGCTCATGCAGGCCTTGGGAGGCAAAGGCGCTGGGAAATTGTTCGCGATCACTGAGAACCCTATCTCAGGCCTGTGCGAGTTCACTGCTTTCGGGAGCCGAGAAAATTGACGTGTGACGGGTGAGGGTTCGTGTGATTCGTGTGTAGTGATGTGCTTGTGCGGGTGTTGAACTCTTCATGTGTCTGAGTAGCCATATTTGCGTTGAGTTTAGTTTTTTCAACACATGAATGGATGTTGTCTGTCTGTTGCCTACCTGCCCACCTGCCTAAACAATCAACCAATCAATCAATCAATTGATGAATCCATCAATCGATGAATCGATCAATCGATCAGTCTATCAATCAATCCATCAATCGATCAATTGATCAATCGATCAACGGATCTACCAAACTATGTGTCCAATTGTCCATCTGTCTGTCTGTCTGTCTGTCTGTCTGACTGCAGCAAATGCATACACAAAGAAGCAAACAGGTACGTAATTATCGTTTAAAGCCTAAAGTCCTAACCGTACCTAAATAGTACATCGGTGGGTTGTTAAATGGTTAAATCGACACGGCATAATTTGCGATTTTCTTGTTGTGGTTAAGTAGATACGGCGAAGTTTGCGTGGTTTCCTGTTTTGCATCTACACATACGTACGTATGCACATGTCTGTCTGTCTGTCTGTCTGTCTGTCTGTCTGTCTGTCTGTCTGTCTGTCGTCCATCAATCTATCTACTTGTCGATCACATGTATCTTTATTTTTCATGTATCTGGTTATTTATGTATCTGTCCATCGTATCTATCGTTCCTGCTTTGAGTCTAATTGCCATGGTTCGTGGGGCGCAGAGAGAGGTCGAACCGAAGCCGCAGTCATAAAATCGAAAGAGGAGAAAAAGGAGACCCAAGCAAGGACCACGGGTCGCTTCAGCTCCGTTTGCATGTGGACCCACCGAGTTGAGGGGAGGGCATCTCCGAAACAAAAGGATCCAGCCTCGTACACAGTGCGAGTCCACTGCTGAGTACAGGGCAATGGCATAGGCATAGCGCAGGGTGCCTTTACCGGCATTAGTTGGGCAGTGCCTTTCCCTGTCAGGGCTTATGGTGGGCATTCTGGCAACAGTGTTGGTGCAGTCCTCGTCAACCAGCCACGTGGCAGCATGCTAGTGTCTAGATTAGCAAGGCCAACTGCACAATGCGAAGGCACATCCATTGTCGTTGGCTTGGTCGCCGCGGGGCAGCTCGCTGTCCACAACGCCATTGCCTCGGCTGGTCTGGGGGCTTTGTGGTGCTGCGTTGCTAACCTTACGACCTGATGATTGCAGGCAATCCCGATTGTGATGGGGGCGAATATCGGCACATCCGTGACGAACACAATTGCTCCAAGCTCAGTTGTTGATTCTACACTGCTCGTCCCCCCAACAAGAAGAGGTAATTCAGCTCAGCCCTTAGAACCAGTACATCTTGCATGTCAGTCAACAAGAGTCGTCTATCTGAAAACCTGAACAACCTAAGCAGGTGCAACAGCAGAAACAGCCATTGCATATGCAGCCAACCTGAGAAGTGTCAAGGCTGTAAGTACCTTTGAAATTACTACGACTTGACGAAGCGTTGGGTGGACGTCGGCAAATTTTGTCATGTTGAGACTCAAGACGGGGAGTTGCATTTCTAAAGTCACGTCTTTGTAACCTTCAAGACTTGCGCGGCACGAGGTCTCCATGGCACATGTTGGTGAGCGCAAGGAGCTGGAACGTGCGCTTCTTTCTGAGCATTGGACAGTCTTCTTGGCTTCCTTCTCCGAGTGATGTCTGATGCGACAACGGCATGGTCTCAGAAAAGGCTTCAAAACCCAGGCTTGCTTCGCGTCGCTCCGGAACCAACCTCACCCCCAGGGTCGACCCTTTATGACCCCCATTGATCATTCGACAGTCTGACATTGTGCGGGAGCTCAGGTTCTCCGGCGCCACTGTGCACGACATGCATCCCTGGCGTTCCTTCGGCACATGACATGTCTTTCAATCCTTCGATCCTCTGATCTATGTGCCATCGGAGATACCTAGCTGTCCTGGCGCCAGGTTCAACATGCTTAGCGTCATCGTCCTACTTCCTGTTGAGGCGGCTAAGGGACCAGGACATGAGTGTGAGCATTCCGCTGATTATCGTCTCGGGGTGTCGGGGTTCTTGTGAGGCAAACTTAGAATGGTTCGGATGAGGAGTATCCAGCAGAATCTTATGGACCGCTAATGTAGTGGCTCAGAAAAGCAGGACAAATCTTAGAGCATTGCTGTTCTTCGAAGCAACGAGTAGATATTCGTAGAGCGTGCTGTTGTTCTGCTAATGTATTCGTTGTTCTGCTTATGTATTTTCAGCGTCATGTCATCCATGCAGAATGCGCAGAAAGCTAGACAAGACATTGACGCTGTACTAATTCGGCATGCAGTTAATCGTCATGTCCGACTCCTTCACCGGGTGTCGCATGCTCAAGAAAGCCGGGCAGGTCGTGGTGGGCGCCATCCAGCGTGACGGCGGTCCCATCTACTGGCTATCAATGACCATGGCAGAATCTAGTCCTCAATAGTCAACAGCTGCCAAACTGCCTGTTTATTTTTATTTCCCTGTTAGTGTCTCTGGTTCTCTGGTGACACCACCCAAGACATTGCTGATCGGATCGATTCTGATTGATCTGGGATGTCTTTGAGTTGCTACGATTGTGAATGTATGTGGGTTCTGGAGTGAATCTTTGAACCGACACATGGTTTCCCTCTTTTGGTTTTGGTTTTGCGTTGTGTTTTTGCGAGAGAAACAGGAAAGAAAGAAGGAATGCAGGAAGCAACGGAATGAAGGAAGATCTACATAAGGAAGAGGAAGTGATCCAACACGCAAGACAAGACTGGAATGCAGGAAGCATGCCAACAGGAAACGAGGGCAGTAAAGGGGGGTAGACACGAAGGGATGAACGGATGAAATGAATATAGGGTTGTGTGTGAAAAGGACGGAAGAAGGACTGGACGAAAGACACGCAGAAAAAAAACATCTGAAGAGCAGGAAAGTCCATCAGAGCAGGATGTGAGAGTGTGATGCCCCGACGAAGGGCGCTGCGGGCCACGTACGGTCATAAAAGACAGGACATGTTCATCAGCATACAGTATGATGATATCATGATAGCAAGCACAGAGTGAAGCCGTGAAGACTTGGCATTTTCTGGAGACTGGACATATGTCAAGAAGCTCGCGTGTGTAGCGCGAGCCGCGGTAGTTTGGGAAATGCGGATGGCAACGAATCCAGTAGATCGCGTTCAGGCCTAGTTTCGCGCGATGTGGCAGGCATTGGAGATGGCAATTCGGAGGCAGAATAGTCATGGCACACAACGATGCGGTTATTTTACGTTGCACTACAAAAACTCGCTCGACGCAATGGTCAGCAAACACTGACCGAGAGAAGATTGCAACTGCTCCTGGTAAGATAGCAGCAGGAATCTCGCGTTCCCGAAGAATCGTGACATGTCTAGGGCTTCCAACGGTGACGATGCACAGATCCAGTTAGAATGCAACGAGCCCTCACGCTGATGTGCCGCTTCATGTGGGGGGATGGCTGGAGCCATCCAGTGAGAAACCATCATCGATGTATTGCAACCAGCAGAGAACCAAGTAATCAGGGTGGTCAGGGAAATAGGATTGGACAACACTGTGGACGTTTGCGAATACCGCTCCTGCTTGTAGTCCTCGACGAAACCTGTGCGGATCCGCTGGATGACTTCGTCGAAGGAGATGAAGTGAAACTCCAAAGGAGCTCTTGAGGTGCTGATTGCTGCTGATCTGACCGTAACCCTCCGCAAGGATCCAGAAACTGAATTTGATAGAGGCACTTTCCAGACTGAACCAGAGCTTCGTTTGTTGGTCGTCAAGAAGCTCGTGAGAATGACTTCGCGAGCTCAGCATCCAGGAGTACATCAGCCCCGCATAAGAAGATATCTAGCGCAAGTGCGCTTGGTTATGTTATCGGGCAGTACCCCGACATCGAAAAGCGAAAACATTGGACCATCTTTCCCGATTCCGATGAGGCTCCTCTCGCAAAAACTCATTGTATCAATTTATTCCGGACTTCTTCAGAGGGGGGTCTTTTCAAAGCTCTTGCATATCGTCCAAAGCATTCGGGATCACTGTGATGTCGTGGCCGTAGAGGATGCTGCTGACAAAAATCTTGGAAGACCAGCCTTGAGTGCAGGACGTGTGCTACGAATTGCTCGCGCAAGCTTCTGTTTCACTTCGAAAAGGCTTGATCAGGCTCACGACAGCCATGACTCCCCACGCTTCGGCTAGGCGCTCAAATGCCTTCCAGCGTGCCCATGATCGTGGATTTTGGGACAAACTGTGTTCCCGCTGCTCTTGCTCTTATTCATGTTCGGTACACGAGTACATTCTGTGGCGGCATGTGCAGCAAGATGCTGCGTGCTGGAAGGGAACATCATCTTGCAAACAGAAATTCCGAAATCATACCGTCCTAACAGAAGGACGATGTATGGAACGCCACAGCTGCGAACATGTAGTAGGTATGTTAGTACTGCGAAGAAGCACCAACAGATCGGTGACAACAGGACATCACCTCCGGACCGGTCATTTGCACATCATTGGCACGACGCCGTCCAAGCAGGTTGCATGAGTACCTTGCGGCCCTGCAGGGTATTTAGACATAATTGGTAGCCATGTGGTTTGCGGGTCCTTCACTCCTGCACACACAACCCCAAACAAGCTTTTGACCCAAAGTTTGTGTGTCAGGAAATGCGAGTAAAACCGTTCCGGTACTGGTGTTTCTTGTCGGAGACGATGCGATGGAGCTGTGGAGCAACATTGTGCGCTGAGGATGCCATCGTTAGCAAGTCGGAGGTGACGTTTCCGTCTCCGATCAAGGTGCCTCATCCAGCAATCCAGCAAACTCGCACAAGATGGCATAACTTCTGCGAACTTCTGTGGCTGCTGCAGGCCATCGTCAACCCCATCGTAGACCACTTCCTGGATCCGGATAAAGCCGTGATTAAGGTCCGAAGAGCTGGGCGACAGTCTTCGACTGCGTTGAATATTCCAAACTCTCGAGTTCAAATCATGATGCTCTTCAGAACGATGGTGGACCGCGCCAGGCAATGTCGCTGGGGCCGCCTCCTGCAGTCGCTAGCCCCCCTGAGCCAGATTCGATTCTTGAGAGGGCTTTTGGGCCTTCCAGTCCGAGACGCGCCATGCCATCGGAGAAGTCTGCTCCGGCCAGGCGATGCCTTGGGCTGCGAGGGTGACTGCTGCAGCCTCAGTGCCTGCCGGAGAGCTGCTCGAACACGGCTTCGACCAGGCTCGACGTCCTTTTGCGTCAGCAAGGCTATGCATGCAGCATGGGCCAAAGTTGACGAGGCAGGAAGGGAGACGGAGCGTCCCCATTAGGGGCATGCCTGCCTCCGCGAGGCTGGTCTTCTCTCGTTGCCGGCCTGCCCTCAGGAGCCGTCCCCCTGGCAGCGTGCGTGCTGAGAAATGTTTGCGACTGGTCGCACCTGCTAGGAGCTCTGTGGAGAGGGTTTCGAGTGTCTGCAGAATGCGGCCAGGCAGGGAAAGGCAGACAGACTCGTAAGCCGCGTGCAGGCTTTCATGGGCATCTTGTCATACTCAACTGACTGTCTGCACACTGTTCAGCTTCTATGCGGAGTACATCGAGGAGGGCGAGATCATTGCTTCAGGCCTGCGGCAGGGCTGAGTTGCTGAGTCCCACGCAGCAATCTTGAAATGCCGGCCCAAGTCAGGTTTTCTCAAGCCGCTGGGCGATGTGGCGGGTGGTGCCGTGGCGTTGGTCTGGCCGCTTGAATGCAGTGGCTTCAACCCAGACTGTCTCGAACGTCCAGGAGTGCCATCCGGAATCAAGGATGATCCTAGCTTGTTAGATGTGTTGGATGGTGTTCATTCCTCATTTGCAGGTCTGTCAAAAACCCTTGCCAGGCCAAAACCGCGGTGTCTTCTTTTGGGTGGCGATATTTTTTTGTTGCCTTCTGAAGACTGGTGTTCAACACGTCCACTCGCCTGGCCTTTGCCTTGACCTTCGCTTTTGTGCACTTTGCAAACGACCCCACCCACAAGCCTTCGTCGAAAGCTTGCCACCCTCGTGTAGGACAGCGTAGGAGTTCTTAGATCTACCATGTCATCCCTCATCACTGGAGCCCACTCCGCAGAGCGACGCCCCGCTGTCTTAACAAGTTCGCGGACACTCAGAAGGATCCGCCTTCAGGGAGTTGCAAAAACTCAAGTGTGCTGGGGTGCTGCGGGGGCCCTGCTGCTGGAAGCCATCCGCTCGGTCCGTTGCGATGATGCGGGGACGTCGGCGGTGCCACGCCGGAGACTTCTTGCCAATGCTCGAGCACAACTATCAAAGTCGACCGGACACATGAAGCAGAGGATGTTGGTCATATAGATCGAGAAATGTTCCGGACGTAAGAGAAAAACGACTTCTTCTCGGCTCCCTCTGACCCGCTGTCTTGTTATCCTCCTCTCTGGCTCTCCGGCTTTTCGGAACGGTTGGATCATGGTGGATCTGGGAAATGGGTTTCCACGAAGTCCGACATGTCCCCGGCACATGCCGAGTTCGCTGCTGGCCATTTGCTTCTCCCTCTTCTGCCTGGTGAAGCTTCTGCACGCCTTGATGATTGGCAAGGCGAAAGTCATGATCCTTCGAGACCTGGCATCCAATATCACGGTGAGACTTGGGCCTTGGGAGTTGGTCAGCAGGGTCTTCTGAGTAGAGTCACTGGACATTGGCAGCCTGGCAAGGCTGACAGGCCAAAGCTGAGTTGTGCAAAGTCTGAAGCCCCCCCATAAATTCAGGGGCGACCTCGATGAATGACTACCTTGCCATGGGCGTCGGGGGAATCCTCACCTTCGTCGTCCAGAGCTCGTCTGTTGCTTCTCGGAGTGAAACGAAGGTGGAGGGGCGTGGGTTCTGGAAGCTGAAGCCTTGAGCGAGAAGCTTTAGGTAGCGTACTGTTGCATTGCTTGGTGCACGCAGCCCAGCATGGTGCCCCCTTCGTTTTAGGGGAAGCCTTGCCTGCCGGATGCGGAAGTATGCTTCCAGGTTACTTCCGCGCTGACGCCTCTTTGCGGGTTGGGCCTCATGACTGCCCACTCCTCAAAGCAGGGACGCTCTCGAAGCCGTGTGGGATTTGAGCGCCATCTTGACTTCAAGATCTCTTGGGATCCGGAAACGGGGCTGGTTCATGGCCTGGGCTCATGCCTTGCTTCAGCCAAGGTGGAGAAGATGCTGCCAGTTACCCTTGGTGCAAACCTTACTTGTGAGTGCGTGTGGGTCTACCTTCCTCGTTCATGTACGAAGGGGTTCACTCGTGCGTGCGCACACACACACACACCCGCACCCACACACACACACAGATACACAGATACACAGATACACACACACACACCCACACACTCACACAGAGACAGACAGACAGACGGACAGACAGACAGAGCAGGCAGGCAGGCAGGCAGGCAGGCAGGCAGGCAGGCAGGCAGACATATGTAAATGCTACCGAAGACATGCATATGACTACAACCATACATGTGTATATGCGTACTTATGCATACATACATATACGTACATAT